GGGGGGGGGGGAATAGACACGTGAGGGGGAGAAGAGAGCCAGATGGGGTGAGGGGTCGGAGAGCAGGAAACAGGGCACATATCAACCCAAGAGTCTGTGCAGGGGATGATGTCAGCAGGTTGGGCTCTGTCACGCGGTAGATGTGGATCCTATTCACAGAACGGGAGTCTGTCGGGTCGGGTCGGGTCGGGTCGGGTCGGGTCGGGGTACAGGTCTCAGGGTTTCACTCCTACCTCACACTCATTGCAGTAATACGCTGGCTCCTCCTTGACCCGGCTCTGGAAGATGATCTTCTTGCCGCTGTTCGTCAGTGAATCCCGCAGGAGCTGACACTGCTTCAGGGAGGTCATCAGGCAGTACCTACAAACAGGAGGTCACAGCTTAAACTCTCCCTTCATCACTGGTCAGGAGCAGTCTCGGGCTGCCTGCTGACCCACAGGCACTCTGCTGGCTCAGCGTGTTAGATACTGCACTTCCGTATCGCCCTTCATCGTCTCAGGGCAACCCCTGAAGGACTGCTCTGAAGTGTTGTCACAGGAACCCCAAAACCCCCAGGGGCAAAGGCGGTAAATCTATCGACAGATCGATTGCAGGAGATCAGGAACTTGGGGGGTTGTGTGCAGCAGAACCACCAGCACACTGCAGACGGGCCGAATGGCCTGTTTCTGGCAGATACATTGTGAGAGAATCACGATTCGCTTTATATTGGGATTTTCAATAGACAAAGAGCTGAAATAAATTAAGCACCAAACCCACAAAATAATGAGACAGAGTCACTTAGAAAAGGCGTGTAGGCGTCTAGAAGCAACTCTTAAACGGCAAGAGGCATAAACTGAGAAATACTACATTGTGATGGGAGACAGAAACACAGACAGAGAGACAGAAACAGAGACAGTGTGTGCGTGAGAGAGAGAGAGAGAGAGAAACAGAGACTGTGTGTGTGTGAGAGAGAGAGAGAGAAACAGTGTGCGTGTGAGAGAGGAAACTGTGTGTGCAAGAGAAACAGATACAGTATGTGTGTGTGTGTATGAGAGAGAGAGAGAGAAACAGTGTGTGTGAGAGAGAAACAGAGACTGTGTGTGTGAGAGACAGAGAATGAGAAACAGACTGTGTCTGTGTGAGAGAGAGACAGAATGAGAGAGACTGTGAGAGAGAGAGAGAAAAACACAGACAGTGTGCGTGAGAGAGAGAGAGAGAAATAGAGACTCTGTGTGTGTGTGAGAGAGAGAGAAACAGTGTGTGTGTGAGACAGAAACAGACAATGTGTGTGTGAAAGAGAGAGAGAGAAAGAGAAACAGACTCAATGTGTGTGTGAGAGAGAGAGAAAATGAGAAACAGAGACAGTGTGAGAGAGAGAGAGGTAAAGAGAAACAGACTCTGTGTGAGGGAGAGAGAAAGAGAAACAGTGTGTGTGAGAAAGAGAGAAAGAGAATCAGTTTGTGTGTGAGACAGAGAGAATCAGAAACAGAGACAGTTTGTGTGTGAGAGAGAATGAGAAACAGTTTGTGTGTGAGAGAGAGAATGAGAAACAGTTTGTGTGTGAGAGAGAGAATGAGAAACAGACAGTGTGTGTGTGAGAGAGAGAAAGAGAAACAGAGTTTGTGTGTGAGAGAGTGTGTGAGAGAGAGAGAATGAGAAACAGTGTGAGAGAGAGAGAATGAAAAACAGAGTGTGTGTGTGAGGGACAGAGAGAGAGAAAGAGAAACAGAGACAGTGTGTGTGTGAGAGATAGAGAACGAGAGAGAGACACAGGGAGAGGAGAAGAGGCTGTTTAGCTGGAGGGAGGGGGTTTGAAAGTAGAGCAGCTTACTTGATCATTCGGTACAGGTCGGGGTCGGTGATTTTAACAGTGCGAGCTGCGTTCCAGCTGACGTGGATCATGGGTACAATCGACTTCACTTTTTTCACCTTGTTCCACTCGTATCGTTCGAGAGCGAGCTGGTACTGATAGGCTGTGGGCAGAGACAGTGTGTGAGATGGAGAGGAGCTGTCATACCCAGCACTGTTCACAGGCACTCAATAACCTCAGTATCTGGGGAAATCCCTCAGACTCTCCCACCACATACAGAGTTCAGGGGAATAGTCAGGGAGGAGGGGACACTAAGTCCCCAAATTCCTGAGAGGCACTGACGCCAAAACTGGGCCCTCCCAATCCATTCACTTAACCCAGAGGGTGGGGTCAGGAGGACCTAACCCTCACCCCAATTCCCATTACCCCAGCACAGGGTTAGATACAGAGGAAAACTCCCTCTACACCATCCCCTTCAAACACTCCCAGGACAGGGACAGCACGGGGTTAGATACAGAGTAAAACTCCCTCTACACTGTCCCCCCATCAAACACTCCCAGGACAGGGACATCACAGGGTTACATACAGAGTAACGCTCCCTCTACACTGTCCCCTTCAAACAATCCCAGGACAGGGACAGCATAGGGTTAGATACAGAGTGAAGCTCTCTCTACACTGTCGCCCACCAAACACTCCCAGGATAGGATTAGATGCAACATAAAGCTCCCTGTACTCTTTTAAACTGAAAGTAAAACTCCCTCCACAGTGTCGATGAGTCCCAGGACAGATGCAGCACGGGATTAGATGCAGAGTAAAGCTCCCTCTACAACGACCCCACCAAACACTCCAAGAGCAGGATTGGATGCAGGCTGAGGTGCAGGGTCGTGTCCTCTGTACACTGACACTAACCAGTGAGGGGGCCCACGTTCCAGGCGATGTTGTTACACCATCCGGTTGCCTGTACCCAGTGCACCGTACCAGCATTGATCCAGACCAGGTCTCCCGGCCGTTGAATGAAGCGGTAAACGGGGATCTTCGATGCGTACAAGTCATCTAGGACTGGCCACCATGACCCTGTCAGATAGTCGACATTGTGCCTACAGCAGAGAGAGGGGAGAGGACGTTGTGTGTCACTACAACATTCACACCAGGAACACCCCGAGAACGTCACTGCCAATGTCAGCTGTTCAATGTATTGCAGTAAACTTGGCACCAACACTGTACACAGCAAGATCCGACACACAGTGATCACATATTGACCAGGTGATATTGCTTTTGAAACATAAATGTACATACAAGGACATTAAGAACAGCCCCATCTTGTTTAGTGACTGCGGAATCTTTGACATCCACCCAGGAGGGCAAACATGGCCCTCACTTTAATCTCTCATCTGAAATGAATACCCCCAAACTGTGCGGCACTACCTCAGCGCTGACCCTCCGACAGTGCGGCGCTCCCTCAGCGCTGACCCTCCGACAGTGCGGCGCTCCCTCAGCGCTGACCCTCCGACAGTGCGGTGCTCCCTCAGCGCTGACCCTCCGACAGTGCGGCCCTCCATCAGCGCTGACCCTCCGACAGTGCGGCGCTCCCTCAGCACTGACCCTTTGACAGTGCAGTGCTCCCTCAGTGCTGGCCCTCAGACAGTGCGGCGCCCGCTCAGCACTGACCCTCAGACAGTGCGACGCTCCCTCAGCGGTGACCCTCTGACAGTGCGACGCTCCCTCAGCGCTGACCCTCTGACAG